TAGCCCATGAAACTTTCTTAACTTTAGCAAAGGGAGGGGCTGGAGAGATGACCCGGCAGTTCAAAGCACTGACTGCTCTTCCAGAGGACCCAGGTTCAATACCTAGCACCCACATGGCAGCTCACAACTGTCTGTAACTCTAGTTCTATGAGATCTGACACCCTCACACCAATGCTCACAAAATAAAATAAATTATATTTTAAAAAGTTAGCAAAGGGAAATGGTGACCACCATGTTCACTTGCCAGAGTCTTCCATCACATGCCCACATCTTTGTAGACTTATCACCTGCCCATGAAAAAACCAAATACTATACACATCCCAGGAACTGGTATGCACAGCAGGCTTGCACCCAAGTACAGGGACACACACACTCATGTAAGCATGCTTGAATACACACACACACATACACACACACTCATGTAAGCATGCTTGAATACACACACACACACACACACACACACACACCTTTCCCCAGCACATACTCAGGTCCTTAGGAAAAACCTCTAACCTTGGTCATGGCTAAGAGAGTAAAAGGAACAAGAGACCTGTCACTCACAAAAACTGCCAAGGGTTATGGTGGTACACCTTTAATTCCAGCACTTGAAAGGAAGAGACAGGCAGATAGATCTCTGTGAGTTTGAGGCCAATTTAGTGTACAGAGTGAGTTTCAGGACAGCCAGGACTAAACTACTCAAGAAAACCATCTTGAAAAGCCAAGGGGGGAGGGGGGAAGAACCATCACTAACCAACAGAGGCGCTTGGAGCTGGACAAGGAACTGTATCTTTACAGTGACCAGTCAAGTCACCCTCTGCCAAAGGCTTCAGTCTCACGTGTGAAATAAGGGACCCAAAGTTACCCACCTTCAGGCTTCTACCAGCTCTCTGCACAGACAAGATGCTTTCTAGTCAGAAGCAGGATGTCACTCAAAATCAAGGCCTGACCTCCAGAAAGGGGTATATGGTTCACATTTTGCTGACCCAGTTTCCCTGGCAATGTCAGGTGACCCCAGAAGCAGCGGGAAGCAAGAAGAACAACCTCTGTTCGCTGTCAACTCCAGCAGCTTTCAAGGTCCAAGCATCACACTACCCTGCCAGGATACTCATTAACCCCAGTGATGACATGGAAAGAGGAACCTGCCCAAGACCAAGAGGCCGGCAAGGACCTCACACACACACTCTCTTCTATATGGGACATAGAGATCTGACACACTGGCCAGGCCAAAGGCTTCTCTGGGTCTTCTATCAAAGCAATAGAAGATGAAGGAAGTCTTGTTACCCTAGGCCCCTGGGTCATTGTTTGAACTTAAAATTTCAAGTGTTTAGGACAGCCAGAGAGCCCCAAGAATGAAATTCACACAAGACTCAACACTTAATTTCCCTTATTCTAAACCTGGGGCCCTTTCACTTGCCTGTTCCCAGTGTAGGGACTCACAAAGAGGTGGTCAGAAGGCAAGGAGCAAGCTCTAAAGGGAGAGGACAGACCCCAAACACACAGCAGGCAAAGTCAACCAGCTCCAACTGTCTACATCCAACTTCTTGGTAGAGACACTCACAATCTCAGAGCACCCAGGACCCAGGGGACCACTCATCTCGGACAACAATCACCTTTATCACATCCTGGAAAACCATGGGATAGACAAGAAGTCAACGTCTTTGGAATGAATACCACAGAAAATCAGGGGACACATTATTTCTATAACCAGTTTCCCAGGCCTTGTGTTCACTCTTCTGCTTAATCCACGGGGCCCCAAATCAATTGTCTGTGGTTCGGAGAAGCCTCTGCTTCTCCAGTTGGTATGTCTTCATGAAGAAGGAGGAAACCCAGAGAGGATTTCCACAGCCAGGGGTAAGAAGGCCCAGAGGATGGGAAACTTTGAGCAGCCACACCAACCAAAAGACCACAAACAGGAATAGTCAGGCAAACCAGTGCCACTTGGCCTGTCAACTGGGCAATAATCTGGCATCCAGCTATAAGGGACAAGGGGGATAGCCATGCAACAAGCAGGCTGAGGTTAGAAGGGGCACCGTCGCAGCACCCAGGCCTTCCCTGGGAGCTCCGTGGGCTGCACAGAGCAAGCATTCGGATGCAGGAAGCCAGAGGGGAGACGGGGACGGCATAGCATGGGGACACCAGGCCTCGCGTGGCGAACGGGGAGTGCACGCCCGGCCGGACAGCGTGCACGGGTGGGCGGGCATGCAAGTGGCTCGGCGGAGGGGTTGCAGGCGTCACCCGCGGGGCGAGCGTGGCGAGGCCCGGGAGTAGGGGCACGCACGGGGAAGCTGGTTACCGTGTGGTTCACCCCCCACATCAGGACGCTGAGGATCGGCTCGCTGGCCCGGAATAGCTTCACTTTCTGGCACACGAAATGCTTCTTCTTGGTCTTGGTTTTGCTGGCGCTGAGTGGCGCCACCGCCACCGCCGTGGTGCTGGTGCAGTTGGACGACATGCCCGGGGCGGCGGCGGCGGCGGCGGTGGCGGCGAAAGGGGGGGTGGCGGAGACAGCGCAACCTGCAAGCGGCCCCAGGCCTCCCCCGAACCGATCCCCACCCCCGCTGCCTCACGGAGCCATGGTCGCGCCCGTCCCGTTACCTCCCCACCCCGCCCCGGTGGTTCCGTCCGCCCTACGCCCCGCCCTCGCCGCCCCGCCCCACCCCGCCCCGGGGAGCGGGCCAGCCCGTTCCTCACCCCGCCCCCGGGGGCACCGCCCACCTACTCCCGGACCTCCCCTCCCCGTCGGAATGGTACCGCCCGGCCCGGGCAGCCTGCGGCCGCCCCGCCCACCCCTCCTCCCCGGGCCCGTCAGGGACCCAGCCGTATTCACGAGCGGGGACGAGGAAGGGAGGAATAAACAGCCTTGAGGCACTCCATAAGAAAGACTCCTTGCTCGGGCCCTCCTAAAGCCGGGGTTTGACTTTGCCTCAATCTGAGGACCAAGATGGCGGCAGCGCCACAGCTTCGGGAGGGGTGGAGGGGCCGGCATGCGAGGACACTGGGACATACCATCCCCACCCCGGGGGAGAGAGGAATAACGCGGCCAGGGGAAAGGAAGTCCTGCCTGGAAAACCAGGCACCGCCCCCTCGCTCCACCCAAGCGTGGATCTTCCCACTCCCCTGGGCCGACGGCGCGCTCCACCCTCGGGCACGCCCCCTTCCCCCAAGGCCAATCAGAGGAGCCGGCCGGGAATCTCAGGTTTTATGAATGGGCCGCGCGCCCACCCACCTGCCGCCTGGCCTTCCGTAAACTGAGGGTCAAGTTTAGAGACCGCTTGCACCTACGGACGCCTATTCAAATAATCTTCTCATTCTTGCTCCAAGAAATCTGAGTAAACTACCCAAGATTTATTACGTAATCCTTGGATGAAGGATCTCTGTATACGGCAAAAATCACAGGTCAACATTTGTGAGGGGATACGAAAACTCAGTACTGCGCAGGTGGTCTGTCGCTCTTTACAGTTACAAAAATAAATGTAACCTTTATTACCAAGTAATAAAATAAAAAGCCATAATTACCCATAACACAGAGAAGCAGAATGAAGTGATTAAATAAATAATGTTACATTCTCTGGGGTAAAACTGGGTTTTAAGAATTACAGTCTGTCCCAGCACTTGGGAGGCAGACAGATCTGGATCTCTGTGAGTTCGAAGCCAGCCTGGTCTACAAGAGCTAGTTCCATGACATCTTGCAAAGCCACAGAGAAACCTTGTCTCAAAAACCCAAATTTAAAAAAAAAAAAAAAAAAAAAAAAAAAAAAAAAACAAGACAAAAACAAGAATTCGTGTCTGGCATTTTAGTGGTTAAAAAATAAAAGTCCAAATATGTGTTTGGCTGAATTAAGGGCTGATAGAAGAAGGAAATGGCTTAACTAATGTGTGGGTTAAGAGGGCCTCTGAGGGCCACAAGGTCTGTAATCACAGCTCCAGAGGTTGAGAGAGGAGGATCTACAGCTCAGGGTCAGCCTGGGCTAAGTCTGTTTTTGATTTGGTTGTTTTTTTAAAACAGGGAATCTAGAAATATCCTGGCTAAACGAGGGCTTAGTGAAAAACCGAAAAAGGAATGGCAGTAAAGACACAGAAGTGGCCCCTGGAGTCCTAAATTTTTTGTTAAATTTCCAGGGTGAGGGTGTGTGCGTGCATGTGTGTGTGTGTGTGTGTGTGTGTGTGTGTGTGTGTGTGTGTGTGTGTGTGTGTGTGTGTACTCCTTTAAACCCAGCACTTGGATCTCAGTGAGTTTGAGACCAACCTGGTCTACAAATAGAATTCCAGGACAGCCTCTAAAGCTACACAGAGAAACCCTGTCTTGAAAACCATCCAAAAAAAAAAAGAGAGAGAGAGAAAAATCCAAACCCCTTTTTTTAGTTAAATTACAGGATAAAAGAGAAGCTAGGAAGCTAGACTTGTGGTTGGCTCATGGCAGTAATCCCAGCACTCAGGAGGCCAGCCTGAGCCAGTAAGGGCCCTGTCTCGAAAGACAATGAAGTGGCAGTCGCAGCAGCAACCAGTTGTGTGTAGTGCTACAGTCCCTGCACTTGGGAGGCAACGGCTGGATCTGAAGTTCAAAGTCATCTTCAGCTACATCGGAAGTTAAAAGCTAGCCAGAACTACAAGAGACCCTGCCTCAAAAAACAAACGAACAAAAAATAGCCAGGAAGTAAATACTTCCACATTATTTTCTTTTAGGTCACAAGCATACTAACAACATGGACCTATCTCCTGTGCCACTGGGCTGCCCAATACGAGACAGAGGGAAACACATACTTGGCAGGTGTGTCCTTTCTGAAGCTGTACATAGCTATGAATGTAACCTAACACATCTGTAGAGAAAAAGTCATGAATGACCAAATGTCAAAAGGTTAACCATCCCAGCAAGATTCTGTCAGTAACCTCAAAGCTCCTCCTAAACCAGAGGTGAGGAGAGAAGCAAGCCACGCCCCTTACCATGCTGATTCCTGACAAGGTTTGGTGAGGCTTTACAAATAGTAAAATCATCAAACAAAACATTCTGACAAAAGTAGCTTTTTAAAAGTATGTATAAAATTATACATTTGTACATATATACATTCTACTATTACATCTCAAAGACTAAATAGTTAACAATTCATTTAGGGCTTTTTTTGGTACTGTTTTATCTTCCAGTTTTTTGTCACTTGGCTCTTCCTGACACTTGACTATTCTGTCACAAAGTCTACTAAATAAAGTCAATGTTCATTTGTCCCAGTAAGCAGAGTCTGTCTGAGTGGCTATGGGGAGAGGTCTTTGGAAGGTCTGATCCATTCATTCAGGTGTGTGTGGGGTGGGGTAGGTGTGACAAGCAACTAAGCCTTCCAGGACAGCCCAGTGCCCATCCATTAAAACACAGTCAAATCCCACAGTGCATCCAGCCAAAGTTCATTGGTTTTTAAAGAATGTACCATCTTTCAGGAGTCAATGGACAAGGGGCACTTTGAACAGTGGTGATTTTTCACCTGTAGAAGAAGCCATTCGAACTCTTATAAAGAGAATTCTAAGGGGTCAGCAGCCCCCCTGGAGAACTCAGGGAGACCAGTGAGAGGCTGTTTCTCATCTTTTCATAAAGTTCTTCTCCAGAGCTACTGATGTGCGCTGTAGAGAATGGATGTTGCGCTTCACCCGGTCCTCCAGGGAGGAAGTAGATGCGCTCTCCAGCTTCATGCGACTAGAGAAGACAGAAGAAAGCAACTGTAACAGACACACAAGTCCTTTTCAGCCCACACAGATGATTTGCAAATTCCATCTGGAACCAGGTTTTTAAATGTCCATAAGAGACAACTCATCTGTTTTTGGAAAACAAGTCAAGTCTCATTGGAAAAAGATTTTCCAAGCCATAAATTTTTACTTAAAAGGAAGGCCAAAGAATTTCAGTGATTTGGAAAAAATACCAATCACTACTACTTCAAATAAAAATTCTCCCACTGTCTGGCTAGAGACTGGGAGTAGCACTGGAGCTGGCCCCAAGCTGAGTCCCGAGGACAGAGGTCCCTGGACAGAGATGAGAAATAGCACCAAGGCCCCGAAGGAGCCTGCTGCCACATGGCCTCCTGGAGCCTACGCAGGTGAGCCCCGGGCATGAACAAGCACTTACTGGATGAACTTGCCAGAGCGGGAGTCCAGCTTCTCCAGCCTGCGCTCCCGTTCATCTTCCTGGGCATGCCTCTTGAGGGTGTTGAGCCTCTCCTCCTCCCTCCACTTGGCGTTTTCCATCATCTCCTGCCGTTTCCGCTCTAGCTCCTCTGCTGAGAGTTTCCTGTGGAGGACAGAAACCATCCGATCGGTTCTACCCCTTGCCAAGCAAAACAGAACAAGGAGCACAGCATGCAGGCAGCACAGGCTCTCCAAAAAATAAGAGGGACAGTGAGTGCCATGCCAGGATGAGTTCCCTTCCTTCTGATGTCTCAGTCAGGTGGTTCCCAACAATCATGAAGGATTTCAGGGAAAGATTTCTTACTGCACTCAGTAATCTCAAGACAATTATTTTAAAACAAGGAGGAAATAGACTGAGAGCTGGGTTCAAGTCCCAGTATCCACATGGCAGCAACTCCAATTCCAGGGGATTACAGACATACAGGTAGGCAGGCAATAAATAAACAGACAAACAAACCAGATATGGGCACGAGGAGCTGGTTCAGTGGGTAGGAACAGCTGCAGTGCAAGAATGAGGTCCTGAGTTCAAATCTATAGCACCACAGTTGGACATAACCACACATGCCTGTAACCCTGACATTAAATGAAAAAGATAGGGAAATCCCAAGAGCCTAGCCAGGTTCAGTGAGAGACCTGGCTCAGGGAATGAGATAGAATGCTGTGGATTATTTAACTATGTAAAGATGTGTTACATTTGTTTAACTATTTAAAGATGTGTTGCATTTATTTATGTTGCAGAATATTTGTTTAACCATGTAAAGGTGTATTACTTTTGTTTAATTATGTTGCTGTTTTACCTTGCCTGTCTAAGACACCTAATAAAAAGCTGAATAGCCAATAGCAAGGGAGGAGGTACAGGCTGAACTTCTAGGCAGGCAAAATAAGTAGGAGAAGGAATTTAGGCTGGGAAAAAAGAAAAAAAAAAAAAAAAAAAAATGCCAAGAAATGCCATGGAAGAACCTGGAAAGTAAAACATAACAGAATGAAAGGTAAGAAGCACCAAGGCAAATGTAGATGAATAGAAACAGGTTAAATTAAGTTAAAATAGCTAATAATAAAAAGTCAGCATGTATTATTTTGGGGCTGGTTGGTGGCCCAAAGAAAATCCAACTATTGTAGACTCTGATGTCCTCCTCTGGTCTCCCCATGTTTGAGCAGAGGTATACATGACACATATTCATGGATATACCACTTTGGGGTGAAACTAGATGCCAGCAACCTGACTTAACAACCAATCTCAGAATATAATAGATAGGTCTTCTTTCTATGCATTCACCCTAAATGAAGTTAGAACAAAAAAAAAAAAAAAAAAAAAAAAAAAAAAAATGAAGTGATGAATCAGATTAGTCACCACTTATCGAAGTCAGACATCCAAATCAATTACTTCTAAAATGGGTGTTACAGTTTGTACAGTTTGTGATACACAGATTTCTTTTTCAAGGGAAAAAAATGATGGAGTTCTTTTTTTTTTTTTTTTTTTCCCAAAAAGTGCCCATTTGGAGAAACACACTAAATATGAAAACCTGACATGTAGTTATCCATGATAACTAAACTTTCTATCAAAAACACTAAGCTGTTTAGCCAGGCATGGTGGTTCACACCTTTAATCCCAGCACTCAGGAGTCAGAGGTAGCACTGTGAGTTCAAGGTCAGCCTGGTCTACAGATAAGAGAGAAACATTTCTCAGAAGAATCAAGTCAATTTTGCAAAGAGATCAGACATTATCCTTTGGCTGCCCTGTGAGCTGCTTCTGATGCAGCCTTATGAACCCTGATTTACCTGGTATATCCAGACACATGCCGCCTCTGGTAGACATCCTTTTTAGGTGATGGGCTATCTCTCTCTTTCCTGTTTACCTTGGAGGCATGCCTGTAATGGACAAAGAGGACACAAACATTTTCATAGGTGGGATTATTAGAATATTCGTCAACCAACGGGCTCCTTTAAAAGTATAATCCACTCCAAGTGGTGGTGGCACATGCCTGCACTCGGGAGGCAGAGGCAGGAGATCTCTGAGTTCGAGGCCAGCCTGGTCTACAGAGAAAGTTCCAGGACAGACTCCAAAGCTACACAGAGAAATCCTGTCTCAAAAATCAAGCAAACAAAAAGTATAGTCCAGGCTAGAGCCAAAAAGATGGTTCAAATGCACTTGCCACCAAGCCTGATAACTTGAGTTCAATCTCTGGGAATCCATATGATGGAGGACAGAACCAAATCCCTCAAATTGTTCTCTGACCTCCACAAGGATGCAGTGACAAAAATGTACACACACACACACACACACACACACACACTTTTCAAAAGTGTAATCCAGAGCCCCAGGAGGCTCAGCAGTAAGAGTTCTTGCTAGGTAAGTCTGAGGGCCAGAGTTGAGATCCCAGCACCCACATAACAAGACATAGTTCCGCGCATGCCTAATCCCAGCACTGAGTGGAGAGGAGACAGGAGGGGAATTCCAGCCTAGCTCACCCTCCCCCAGCCAAAAAAGTGAGTGAGCTCCGAGTTTAGAAAGAGACTGCCTTGATGGAACGAGGTGGAGTGTCAAGAAGACATCTGACACCTCCACACAAGCCTAAGTATGCACACCCATGTGTACATAGAGCACACACATGGGCTCTATACTCACACACAGAGATAGTACAACCTAAAGAGGAGGGGAAGTTCTGCCAGCACAATATATTGCTACACCCTTGATTCACTGCGATTATATGTAATTACAGTGAGGTGGAGAAAGGAAATAAAGCTGAAACACCTGGGACTGGAAATGAGGACTATCACCCAAAACCATCACCCGCTGTGACCAAGCACCTAGGGTCAGAGTATTTCCCAGTGAATCCCCAAACTCACGGTTTGCTGGGCCTTGGAGACCGTGACCTTCTGCCTGGGGATCGAGACCTCCTATCCCGGGACCTCTCTTCCTTGGAGCTCTTCTTGCTGACATGTCTGGGGGGTGAGTGGGAGGAGCTCCTTGAGCGGGAATGGTTCTTCACACCCCTTTGTTCGGCCATCAGAGAACCCTGTAGTCCCTGGTTACGGTCAGGGTCCCTCACCTATGTCATTAAGGAAGAGAGAGCATCCATAGGAAAATAGCTGTTCAAACAGAAATGCAGTGAGGAAAAGGACAGAATGAACGAGATTCTTTAAAGTGCCAGGAGTAATCAAGATGACCATAGAGCTGCATGGAGGTGTCGGGGTGGAGGTGGGTGTGCCTGAATCCTGTACTCAGAACGCTAAGGTAAGAGGACTGTAAATTCAAGGCCAGCTTGTGTTACATTCTGAGACTCTGTCTTAAAAAAAAAAGAAAAAGAAAAAGGAGCTGGGCATGTCACCAGCAACTCAGGAGGCAAAGGCATGAAGATCAAGTTTGAGAACAAATTGAACTACATATGGAAATCTATTGATAAAAGCCAAGAGTTGTCTCTTGTATCTGTAATCCCAGCATTCAAGATACAGAAGAATTCAGAATTTTTTCGATTCTGTCTAAAAAAAAAAAAAAAAACAAACAAACAAACAAACAAAACAAAACAAAAACAAAAAAACCCAAAAAACAAGATCTCAGAGCCCAGGCTTGCACCTTTAATCCCAGCACTTGGGAAGCAGGACAGCTACAAAAAATTCCAAGGTCATCCAGCCTTAGCTCCTCTCTCAAAAAATATAAAAACAAGGGCTAGAGAATTAGCTCAGGAGTTGGGAGAACTTGCTGCTCTCCCCGAGGACCTGGATTTGGTTCCTGGCACCTACCAGGTGGCTCACAACCATTTTTAACTTCAGATCCAGAGGATCCAATACCCTCTTCTGTCATATGGCATGCACATTTACATGCAGGCAAAATATTCATACACATAATATAAAAAAATATATAAATCTTAAAGAAAAAAATACAAAAACAAGCCAGGTGTGGTGGCACATGGCTTTAATCCTAGCACTGGGGAGGCAGAGGCAGGAGGATGTCTGTGAGTTCAAGGCTAGCCTGACCTTTGTAAAGAGTTCTAGGAAACCCAGGGCTATGTAGTTAAGACTGTCTCAAAATAAACAAACCAACAAACAAATAAATGAAAGCATGAATGAATGAATATAAAGAAGTAAACCAAGGGCTGAGGTTGAGTTCATTCATAAGCACTTGCTCAGTATATGCAAAGCCCTGGGTTCCATTAAAGCACCTCACAAAAATTAAAATAAAAAAGTGAGGGATGTACTTAGGTCAAATCCATTAAAATGTATATATTTCATGTCAATTATTTGCAGTTCTTGGCAGGATGGTAAGTGCTCCAACTAGTGATTTCTCTAGAGGACTCTCAGGAAGAGGCAAAGGGCTCCAGGACAAGGAGCAGGTTTGGCCTCCAGCAGCCCCAGCCTCCACTATGCAAACTCCCCAGCTATCTGTAAGTGTCAAAGGAGACAAACTGCATGGTCCCATAGTCACTCCCTTTGAAAAGCCCCCATCTCTACCTGTAAGCCATATCCAGGGACTTTGGACAAAACAGGAAAGGGATTTGCCATCTTCTTTTGAGATCTAAGAGATTAAAACACATACTGAGAAAGAAAAGGTACACGAGTCCAGCTTGAACCTCTTCTGCTGAGAAGTGCAGCCTCCCCCAGTGCCCAGCTAATCCTGCCACTGCTTGGCAGCATCTTTCTCTATTTGGACTGTCTTCGTTGGAAGACATCAGCGCATCCAAGCTTCTCCTGTGAAAGCCGTGGGCAGAGCGCTCAGCCTCAGCGCCTGCACACAGTCTCCTCTCACCTCATGTTGCTATTCCAGGGACTAACCGTGAGTCAGCACCAGCAGAGCTGACTGTCCCTGCGGGAAGGCGCAGAATGGGCCCACATGGTCCCATTAAGCCATTTTTAAAAAAAGAGGGAGAGAGACTACAGAAAGAAAACGCTTTTCAGTCCGAGGACTCAAGCTGAGATGAAAGAGTCTCTGCATGAGTTCCTACAGTCTGGGAGAGGAATGTCAGCCTATCCAAGAGTTCACCAAGAGACAGACTTAGCATCTCCAGAGACCTCTAATGCCAGGGGCCAGCTCTGCAGTACAGAGTATCTGCGTGCTCCCCACTGAAGCCGCAGTGCCCGGCGCTCAGCTCCTGCTCCTCCCGTGGGATGGATGAGTGAATGGAGAAGCAGTCTTGCTGAGGGAGGCTGGCACCGTCTGCTCACCTGCCCTGGTTATGCTCCTCCTCACTGCTGGAGCGGTCACTACTGGAGCTTCTGTGTTTGTGTTTCTTGTGCTTCTTTTTCTTCTCCTTCTTTTTCTTCTTCTCCTTTTTTTCCAGACTCATTTGCAACTAGGAAATTTCCAGAACATAACCACATGAGCTCTCTAAGACCCCTGTTAGTACCTGCTACAGGGCACGGCTCACATACAAACTGGCCCAGGGCATTGTCAGGGCATCAATGTTGGACACAAATGTACCCCAGGTCCCTTAAAAACTTCTCTGGTAAGTGAACAAGGAATCCACTTTTTTTATTATTATTATTATTATTATTATTATTATTATTATTATTATTATTATTTTGAGACAAAGTTTCACTGTGTACCTCTGGCAAGCCTGTGACTCACATGCCACCAAGCCTGACAACTTGAGCTCAATTCTCAGGACCACTCACATGCCATGGCACACATATCCACACAAATACACACATAAATACAATATAAAAAAAGAAAGTGGACAATGGTGGTGCAAGCCTTTAATTCTAGCACTCGGGAGGCAGAGGCAGGTAGATCTCTGTGAGTCCAAGGTCAGCCTGGTCTACAAAGCTACACAGAGACACCCTGCCTCAAAAACCCCAAGATAAATAAATAGAAATTTAAAAAAAGAAATAAAAAGAAATTGAATACATGTAGTTCTTTACCAACCAAAAGGAAATCAATCTTAATTAAGCTATTAAGTTAAGGCAACATAAAAATCACCAAGAGATAGCATGTAAAAACCAAAAGATTTGAGCCAGGCAGTGGTGGTACATGCCTTTAATCCCAGCTCTCAAGAGGCAGAGGGAGACAGATCTCTGAGTTTGAGGCCAGCCTGGTCTACAGAGTGAGTTCCAGGACAGCCAGGGCTACACAGAGAAACCCTGTCTTGGGAGGTGGGGGGGGGGGGGATGTAAGCCTTATAATCTTGACACTCAGATTGAGGAAAGAGATAGTTATAAACACCAGCCTACTTCCTTTCGTATGAGGAAATGAAAAGATGGCCTGGTGCTAAGAAACCAAAGGAGGGGCTAGAGAGATGGCTCAGAACTTAAAAGCATTGACCGCTCATCCAAAAAACCAGGGTTCAATTCCTAGTATCCACAGAACAACTCACAACCATCTGTAACTCCAGTTCCAGTGAATTTGATGACCATTTCCAACCAACTCAAATGATACAAAATCACACAGTGCAGACATCTGTGCAGGCAAACAGACTTCCATCAGCATCTTGTGCATATTTGATGTATTACTTACCAATTCTTTGATTTTCTTCATTTTCACAGGATTGTTCAGTACCTCTCTTTTTTTCTCCTCTTCTTTCTTCCTAAAGAGAAGAAAAAAAAAAAAAAAAAAAAAAGTAATGACTCTGCCTTTTGCAAAGGGAATTATGTTATCCTCCTCACCAGATTCTATTTAACAACTCCTTTTTAAAACTCATGCACAGGCCAGGCAGGGCTACACAGTGAGAACTTGTCTCAAACAAAACAAAAACCACATAGATGCAGAATTTATAGTGTGGTAAATTTACAGAGAACAGTATGGAAGCCAGAAAGCTCCAGCAAATACACGCAAGAGACGGTACACTGTGGAGAACATGATGTGAGGACAGTGCAATGCATGGAAATGAGTTCAATCTGCTTCTCGTCTGGCTTCATGTTCAAGGGTTCCCTCATGGTTAAAGAATCCAGTGTGGACCTGTGAATCCACTAAGTGCATCATTTCAAAAACAACCTCCACTTCTTGGCATTAAAAACAGGCTCATCGCCTGGGAAATAAAGACAACAGAATGGTCCTATTGAGAAGTGAGTGTGTGTACACAATGGTTCTTCTTTTGAGAAGTGTGTGTGTGTGCAAATGTGTGTGTGTATGTGTGCAAACATGTGTGTACACACTGGTGCTGGGAACTGGAGAGATGGCTCAGCAGTTAAAGAGTATTGGCTGTTTTTCTGAGGACCTGGGTTCAATTCCTAGCACCCACATGGAAAGTCACAATTGGCTGTAAATCCAGTCCTCTTCTGGCCTCTTTGGCACCAGAAATGCACATGGTACACATGCTAACAAAACAGTCATACACAGGGAATAAAGTTTAAAAATAGATACATAACAAGGAATGTCACACAATTTTCAAATTTTAACAATTTGAAAATACATAATTTGGGGGACTGGAGAGATGGCTTCTGGTACTGGCTGCTCTTCCAGAGGTTCTGAGTTCAATTCCCAACAATCAGATGGGTGGCTCACAACCATCTGTAGTGAGATCTGGTGCCCTCTTCTGGCCTAGAGGCAAACACCACAACACTTGTATGTATATATATATAAATAATTTGGAAACAAGTTCATTAGGGATTAACAAGCAGGTATCAGTGATGGGTTGGACGTGATAGAACACAACTCAATACTAAGGAGGCTGGGGAGAAAAAATGGTGAATTCAAGGCCAAGGCTACTATCTCAATAAATTGCAAAGTTAGACATGGTGACACACATTAGAGGCACACACTAGAGGGTGAAGAGTTCAGTCATACTCAGAAACAGGGTGGATCTGAGGCTAGCCTGGACTACATGAAACCCTATTCCAAATGGCTAGTAAGATGGCTCTGTCAGTAAAGTGTTTGACATACAACCATAAGGGGCTAAAATTCCATCTCCCAGAAGCCATGTAAAAAAGCTGAGTAAGCCAGGTGTGGTAGCACATGCCTTTAACTCCTGCATTCAGGCTAACCAAGGCTACACAGTAAGACCCTGTCTCAGAACTGAGCAGAGCAGCACATGACCATGATCCTAGTGCTCAGGAGGCAGCAACAGGAGGGTCCTGGGGCTTGCTGGTCAGTGCAAATGAATCAGCAAGCTCCAGGCTTGGTGAGAGCCCATGCCTCAAGAATAAGGCAGAGAGGGCTGGGTAGGGAGCTGGTAAAGGAACTTGCTGCCAAGCCCAATTGCTGAGTTCCAATTCCTAAGGCTCACAGCTGGAAGGAGAGAACCAACTCCCAAAAGTATCCATCCACACACACACACATGCACACTCAACACACACAAATAAGACAGTGATTGGGAAGGACATTTAATGTTGACTTCTAGCCTTCACAGACAGATAAGCACACACATGCACATACAAACACTACACACACACACATCCAGAAATAAACAAATAAAATAAAAAAGCAAAAGGAGGCTGAAGGAGAAAGGGATGAAGAGTCATTTGACTGGCTATGCGATTGCAGTGGGAAGCATAAGGGAGTCAGGGGTTAAGAGGTAACATTTACCTTACCTCATAGTCAACTCCACACCAATTTCCCAAATTTCCAAGGAACAAGCAAATGCTTGTCATTTTGCTTCCACCTTCTTTTTCACTTTAATAAGTTTTATTATCTTTAATTTGTGTGTGTACAAACATGCAAGTGTGAGGCACGTAAGTGCTAGTGCCCATGGCGCTTTGGATCTTCCTGGAGCTGCAGATACAAACATCTCTAAGCCACCTGACATGAGTCCTGGGATCCAAACTCACCCTCTGCAGGAGCAATAGATACTAACAGCAGAGGTATTCCCAGTGTTTTACCTCTCATTTTTATTTAGGGGTTAAGGATAGATGGATAAATCCGGTCTGGCTTGAAACATTTGCCAGCATCTTTCCATATGGCCTACATCCGGCACCCTTACAGAAACTCTCTCACCACCCAGAAGCACAAACAGAGAGAGATGTGGAAAGGAGGAATGACTATAAGAAAAGAAAGACCAGCCCTCCCCGAAGAGTCGCCAAGCATCTGTGTAACCTCAGCCCCCAGAGGTACCTGATGATGAAGAGAGGGTCTTCCCGGATTTTGCTGGCCATGTCAAGGAGGGAATTGGCACCTGATGGGGCAAAGATAGAGCCTGGGAGGAGTCCCGTCTCAGAAGAACAGCCTGCTTCCTTTTCCTCCATCTTCTCAAAAACATACTTGTCAATGGGGCGACCCAGCAGATACTCATCACGGTTCACCATCCCACCAGGGCCCTGGTACATCCAATCCAACTTTTCTTCTTTTTTCCTGGTTCAAGAAAAAAAAAAAAAAAATACATATACATATATATGTATGTATTCAGACTCACACACAAAGGGAATGCACAGCAGTCCTGCCAAACTCCATGCAGAACCTGAGCTGATCTATTATGGAATATTATTATTTTATTATTTGTTTATGCTGTGGAACATATGTGTTAATGCTGCAAAGATGTGTTGCATTCTTTTGTGTTGCCTTTGTTTAACTCTGAGAAGCTGTGATTCTTTGTCTAAAACACCTGATGGCCTAATAAAGGGCTAAATGGCCAATAGTCAGGCAAGAGAAAGGATGGGTGGAGCTGACAGGCAGACAGAATAAACAGGAGGAGAAAAAACAAGACAGGAGAAGGATCCAGAATAGAAGGGGCCAGCCACCAGCCAGCCATGGAGTAAGAGTGAAAGTAAGGTTACAGAAGAAAAGGAAAAAGCCCAGGCAAAAGGTAGATGGGATAATTTAAGAAAAGCTAGCTACAGTGGGGAGTGGGGTTGGTGCATGCCTTTAACCCAGCACTCAGGGAGCAAAAACAGATGGACCAGGCCGGTCTGGTTTACAGAATGGGTTTCAGGATAGCAGATCTGTTACACAGAAGAAAAAAAAAAAAAAAAAAAAAAACTGTTTCAAAAAACAAAAAACAAAAACTATATATATATATATATATACATATACATACACACATATACATACACATACATATATACACACACACATATATATTAATGGAGAAAGTCATACATGTCACAGTGTGCATGTGACTATCAGAAAGGACAACTTTCAGGAATCTGTCTCCCTTTCCAGAGTCACGTGGCAAGTAGCCAAGGTTGGGTTTGAACTCCTAATCATTTTGCCTCTTCCTCCAAGTGTAGAGGTTTCAGGCATGCATTCATACCTAGTGCATTCATTTGTGACAGATTTTTAATGTATGTGTGAGTGACTGCTGTGTATAAGTGCATCCACGTGTACACCTGGTGCCTGTGAAGGCCAGAACTGAACAGACCGTGGTGAGCTGTCTAACATGGGTGCTGGAAACAGAATTCAGGTCCTCTACATGCTCTTAACCATTGAACCATCTCTCCAGCTCTTAGTTTTTGACTTTCTGATTTTATTTATATAAATGTGCACAAAGTAGAGGATATGGGCACCCTATGAACTCTGTTATAGGTGATTGTGAGCAACTATGTTGGTGCTGGGAACTGAACCTGTGTCCTGCAAGAGCAACAGGTGCCTTTAACCTTGAGCCTTCTCTGCAGGCCTTGTTTTGTTATGTTGTTTGCTTTGTGTTTTTTTTTGTTTTGTTTTGCTTTTGTTGTTTCAGGGTTTCACTGTTGTCTAGGCTGCCCTCAAACCAGAGATGTCTTGCCTAGGCTTAGTTTGTTTTCATTTGGTTGGCTGTTGGTTTTGGTTTTGAGACAAGGACTCAAAACCCACTGATCCCCTCTCCTCTTGAAGTCCCTCTACCCCATAGAAGCTGGCTGAGGAAGGAACTATCCCATCTCATCTATTTAATACAAGGATCCAATGCCAAGGGCTAGGAACTGCAACCATGTAACACCATCAGCAAATACTAAAGAGATACTCTTATTGCTCTGTAGTAGACTGCTTGCCTAGCATGTTTGAGACCTTGGGATTGATCCCCAGTTCCAGAAAGGGATTTGGAGACCTACAGCATGTGTGAGATGTGTCTTCTTTGCTCTAAGAGCAATGCACTACAAACACGGAAAACATCACTTGAACCACAAGAGCAGAGTGAATCATTGAATCAACGGTGTTCACTTGGAGAAAGTCAAAGGATATCATTATACAAAGTAGCCAAAGGGACAAGTAGATCAGCAACAGCATTCACGGTGGGGTGGGGGTGGGAGGCATCTCTGCCAGCTGCCATGAGGTACTGCAGGTTCGGCAGCCTGCTTTTCTGAGTCCTGAATATACTTTTTGCCCCTCTCTTTTGTCTTCTGGATGCCGGCCAGACCTAAGTATGCTTCCTCTAACTCTTAGGGATGCCGAACCTGTTTCCCAAAGATCCCCTCCCCACCTTGGGGCTATGTACAGCCATGAAGCTGACCTCCATGCTGGCTCATCCCAAACAGCATGGCCTTTCCCCACTTTTTTCTCCATTCTCCTCCTCCAGGCAACTGGGAGATTTATAGTTTGTCCACCTTGGCTTTAAACTCTTAATAAATTGTCTGTCCTCAAACTTAAAAAAATTTTTTTTTTTTTTTTTTTTTTTTTTTGAGAATGGTGACAGATAACCTGCAATCCCAACAAGTAGGAAGCTGAAGTAGGGAAACACCTGTCTGGGCTATAATGAGATGCTGTCTGCACTTTTTTTTTTTTTTTTTTTTTTTTTTTTTTTTCAAGACAGGGTTTCTCTGTATTGCTTTGGAGCCTGTCCTGGCACTCACTCTGTAGACCAGACTCGCCTCAAACTCACAGAGCTCCGCCTGCCTCTGCCTCCTGAGGGCTGGGATTAAAGGCGTGCACCACCACCACCACCACCTGGCTTAGAGTGCATTTTATTCATTTTCTCAAAATACACTCTCCCCTTTTATTTCATGAGATGGGTAGGGCAGATATCTACTATTACCCCATATTTTACAAGGAAGTGACCAAATGTAAAATTCAGCAAGACTGTCCATAGCCATAAGGCTTTTATTGATAGATACCCTATCTATTTATTTCCATTAACCCACTGCCCCCAAGAAGATGGGCTTGCAATGCATTCACAGAGGCCCCAGGCAACATAAAGACATTGATTCTTAGTCACAGTCATGATCATTTGTCAACCATCTAGTAGGAGCATGGCCTACACTAAGCTGGTTACATGCTATCACATCTGGTCCTCAACAAGCCTTACAGACTTGGGTACTGAGGTAGCCAAGGCTCCCCAAACCTTCTCTCAGGTACACAGCGTCTAACACGCAGAGCCAGTCTTAGAAAGGAGTTGGTCAGGCTCCAACACCCACATGATGAATCACTTAATGGTTATACAGCACTTGCATCAGGCATGTGTCAAACCCCGGCTCCTCACTTACTTGACAGCCCCGACATCCTCAGCATAGCGCTGCATCTCTTCCCGAGCTCTCTCCTCTCGGAGCTCGCGCTGCAGCTCCTCAATCTTTTTCCGCTCAGCCTCATGTTTCTGTTCTGCCTTCCACACTTTCTCCACATTTCGAAGGGTCTGCGGGTGCCAGCTCTTCTTTAGGTTCTGTGTGGATGAAAGGAGGGAGGAAAGAATTCAGGGAGTGGTAGGTGGAAGGTGATAAGGGTCTTCCCACAATGATTAGTTAAGACAATCCCCAATAGACACACCCACAGGCTAACCCAATGTAGACAACTCTCAATGATACGCTCTACCCAGGTGACTCTAGATTATGTCAAGCAGACAGTTAAAGTTAACCATCCCACCCTGCCTCACTCAACCTTCCCATAACCGGTACCTTCAGGCATGTAAAGGCAAACTAGCAGGTGGGGAATGCGGCCTGATGCTAGAGTAGTTGCCTAGCATGCATGAAGTTGTGGGAAATGTCTTAATTAGTTTGAGGGTGGAACAGACCTTTTCTGGGTTTCCTTCAAACAGTTGTAACTTTAGACTCTACTAGCCATATGTAAAATGGGAGTTGATAATAGAAAGACAGAAGAATAGGGCAAAGAGGAAGAGCTCTATTTTGAAACAACATGTGTCAAAACATTCATTCAAACATCTTTTTCTTTTGGTTTTTGGAGACATGGTTTCTTTGTGTAGCCCTGGCTGTCCCACAACTAGCTCTATAGACCAGGCTGGCCTCAAACTCAGAGAGCTCTGCCTGCCCCTGGCTCCCAAGTGCTGGGATTAAAGGTGTGCACCACTACTGACAGCTGGTTCAAACGTCTTTTTATTGAGTCCACTTAACTCTCCTGTGCTTAAACTTGCATGCTTACAATGTACCCGGACCTTTTCAACTTCCCTTGTTCCTTCCCCTTCCTCTTCAATGAATGCTTCTCCTCTCACTACTTTGCTGCAAGCTGCAATCATAGAAAGTTTCCCCGAGGAAATAGCATCTAAGGATGGTTATAAAAAAGCTGGTGATGTGGGAAGCACTGTAAGAGGAAATGGCACTCACAACTACAGTCCCAGTGATGAGAAAAAAGGCAGCATAAATAATTCACTCTGGCTGGAGGTGGAGTGCAAGCCAATGGAGGAGGGGTGTAAGATAAAGGCAGCAGACGGTCATGTGAACTGAACTTCACCCTGTTGATGGCAGGAAGCAAGAACTAAAAGATGCAGGCAAAAGCAGCATGCCCAGTTATCATGGGAAGAACGGATGGGAGATGTGCAAAACTGGAGACCACTTAGGACTAAATGAGATAAAACGCACAAAGTACCTTGCAGGTGCAAAGCACACCGTCAGCAAGAACATCATGTGTGGGCATGTACACATACACATAAGCTGGGCCTTCTATCTAGCTCAGACTACCCTCAAACTCTTACCGACTCTAACTGCCAGGCACTGGAATTAAAGGCATGTACCATCTGCTTTCTTTACCGGTAACTGCCTTCCCTCTGTTACCAGGTTGTTTAATCCTTCCTTCCTACATTTCCTTTGAGAAGGCCTTCCTTCACTACCACCATACACCGCAAACACATACACACCACACACATACACATACCACACACACACACCATACATACATACACACCACACACATACACACAGCACACACCATACACCATACATACATCACACACACATACACACCACACACATACACACCACACACACCATACATACATACACACCACACACACACCATACATACACACCACACACACCACACATACACCACACACACACCATACATACACCACACACACATACACACCACACACACACCACTACACACACCATACATACACACATACCACACACACATACACACCACACACACACCACTACACACACCATACATACACACATACCACACACACACCACTACACACACCATACATACACACATACCACACACACATACACACCACACACACACCACTACACACACCATACATACACACATACCACACACACATCACACACACACCACATACACACACATACCACACACACACCACACACACCATACACACCACACACATAGACACCACACACACCATACATACACACCATACATACATACACACCACACAAATACACACCACACACACCATACATGCATACACACCACACACACACCATACATACACACCATACATACACACACACCACACACACACCATACATACACACCACACACACACACACCATACATACACCACACACACATACACACACACCATACACACCACACTTACATACACACACCACACACACACAACACACACACACCACACACATACATGCACACCACACATACATACACACCACCACACACACACATGTAACACACACATACTTTGTCCTACATAGGTCCTCCTCTCTATAATGTAATCAATGTCTGGAGAAATTTGTAGATGTCACGCCTGAGAGAAAGTGGAGTGCTGATGGCATCTTGTGGCTAGAGGATGCTGAATATACAATCTGCAGGTTGGCCCTGCCATTACAACAAAGAATTATCTAGCTCAAACTGCCAGTACCTCTGAGGTTAAGAATTTCTAGATGGGGAGGGGCGAGGGGAGGCTGGCAAGACTGCTCAGTGGTTAAGAGCAATGGTTGCAGTCAGGCGTTGGTGGGACACACTTTTGATCCCAGCACTCGGGAGGCAGAGGCAGGCGGATCTCTGTGAGTTGGAGACCAGCCTGGTCTACAAGACCTAGTTCCAGGACAGCCTCCAAAGCCACAGAGAAATCTTGTCTCAAAAAAAAAAAAAAAAAAAAAAAAAAAAAAAAAGGGCACTGGCTGTTCTTCCAGAGGTCCTGAGTTCAATCCCCAGCAACCACATGGTTGCTCACAATCATCTGTAATGAGATCTGGTGCCTTCTGGACTGTGGGCATACATGCAGGCAGAACACTTTATACGTAATAAATAAATAAATCTTTAAAAAAATAAAAAGATTTTCTAGATTGGCTAGGAATAACCCTAACCCTTTAATCTCAGGGCTCGGGAGGCAGAGGCAAGTAGATCTCTGTGAGTTTGAGGCCAGCCTGGTCTTCAGAGCTAGGATAGCCAGGACTACACAAAGAAACCCTATCTCAAAAAACCAGAAAAATATTTCTAGATTAGAGCTTTCCTGTCAGGGATGGCTAGTGTTGGTTGCCAACTTCAACAGAGGAATTGCCTCCATCAGACTGTGGGAATGTCTGTGGGTGCATTTTCTTGACTGCTAATTGATGTAGGAGGGCCCACCCCGCTGTGAGTGGTGCCATCCCTGCAGAGGTGGGCCTGAACTGTGTAAGAAATATGGCTAACTAAGCCAAGGGAAGCAAGCTAGTAAGCAGCACTGCTCCGTGTTTCTGCTTCAGTTCCTGCCTCCAGGTTACTGCTTGAGCTCCTCCATGGCTTCCCTTAATGACGGACTCTATCTAACCTGTAAGGTGTAATAAGCCCTCTGCTCCAAAAGTTGCTTTTGGTCCTAGTTTATCACAGCAATGGAGAAACAAACGAATGCACTGTCCATATACAGTTACGGGAAGAACATACTAAACTAGACTTGGTCAAATTAAGGCCACTAGACAAACTTGATTCAATTAGCTTCGCTCTGAGAAGATCGGTAGCTTTCTTTCTAATCTAGCTCTGTGCTTCGTGGATACTTCCACCTATTTTAAGGCATTAGTTCCCCACAAATGAACTACACAACTTAGGAGCAATTGCCACTTAGCCTTAATAAAGTGTTATGAACGCAGAAGACAGCTGCCTTGTCACTACAGATCAAAGCTAAGCTGATGTAGGGAATGAAACAACAGCACAGGATCGGAGAGGATTGGGGCCACCCTTCGACAGTCCATGTCCAGAATACAATTGTGAATCCCTAGCGAAGGAAAGGGACTATGTCCCAAGATAACATACACAAAATAAAGTCTGTGTGCCAAGCTCTGTCTCCTTCCGTACCATGAGTCCAACTGCCCCCCTCCCTGACCTCAGATTTCCCAGGCCAGAGCCTACCCCAATCAGCAAACACGGACACCATCAGATATCACTCGCCGCACATCTTCCCAGGTCTTATCCCAGTCCCTCCGTGGTCTTACTCATCTGTTCTGTCTCCATGTTTACCACCCCCGTGTGTTGAGAACAAGCCTTCATTACCAGGGTTACTCACTGCTACCCTCGACTTCCACCGCACCCTGCCAGTTTCCGTCCGCGGCGCCAGCGGGTCTCGGGCCTCAGTCCTAACTGGCCAGGCCTCAGGCACTTACCAGGTCTCCGCCTCCCATGACGGTGGAGACGTTTCCTCAGTCCGTGGACCTGAAAGATTCAGCGAGGAGCGAGAGAAAACGGTCTCAACTTGAGTTCAGCCTCAGAGAACCTAATCCCTAAAGGAACCAGCTGCCCTTTTCCCCGCCCGCTCTAGATCGCACTTCCGGGAGTGGCGTCATACAACTGCGTCAGCGTCTCGGAGCGATGACGTCCGCACGAGCCCTCCGTCTAATTGATGCTGTAGTTCCTACCCACTCTCAGGGTTAGGTGGTCTCACTTTGGTCGCCTCATGTAACCACCTCTTCCAAGGTTTGAAAAGCCACCGGAAAGGTGGTTGCTGCCTGCTGCCGGGCGGTGGTGACGCACACCTTTAATCCCAGCACCCGGGAGGCAGAGGCCTCAGTGAGTTCGAGGTCAGCCTGGTCTACACAATGAGTTCCAAGACAGCCAGGGCTGTTACACACAGAACCCTGTCTCAAACATACATAAATAAATAGGTAAATACATAAATAAATGGTTGTTGCTTTGGTAACTCATCAGGGCCCTGCTGCCAGGGCTGTTACACACAGAAACTCTGTGTCAAACAAATAAATAAATGTTTGTTGCCTTGGTAACGCATCAGGTTCCTGCTGTAGAAACGCGACTCAGCAAGATGGCTGCCTTCCTAGTGCGCCACTACACCAAGATTTCCAAACAAGCTTTCAAAACCGGACTTTTGGCCTGCTTGTCTTATAGAAATAGATACTGTCAAACAAAATTCCTAAAGTTAAACATGGTGGGTGGTACAACTCCCATCATCTCTGTGCTTGAGATGTGGAGACTGGAAGATCAGGAGTTCAAGGCCAGAGTTGGCACAAAATTTGAGGTTATAAAGCTGCTGGGCATAGTAGCACATGTCTTTAATCCCAGTACTTAGGAGGCAGAGGCAGGCAGATCTCTGGGAGTTCAAGGCCAGCCGGGTCTACAAACTGAATTCCAGGACAGCCAGAGCTGTTACACAGAGAAACCGTGTCTCCGAAAAAGAGAGAGGAAAAGTAAAAGGAAAAAAGAAAGGCCAAGATAACATCCTCTGACAAATTTAGAATCTGCTTGCTTGTTTCTGTCATATAGTCCTTTAATTTATTGATTTTGTACTTGAGACAGGGTCTATGTAAAACCCTGGGTGTCATTTGGGAAAGATGTAGACCAGGCTGGACTCAAACTCACAAAGACCCTCACTACCTGCTTCTGTGTGCAGATTGCTGGGATTAAAGACATGCTGTGCTACCCACATCTTGTGTTTTTTGTGTTGTTAAAATTAAAGGACTAGAGGACGGCCTAGCAGTTAAGAGCACTGGCTGCTCTTTCAGAGGACCGTGGTTCATTTTCCATCTGCAAATAGTCTTTTCTTTTCAGGATCCAATATTTTTTGTTTGTTATGGTTTTTGTTTTTCAAGATAGGGTTTCTCTGTATTGTTTTGGAGCCTGTCCTGGAATTCACTCTGTAGACCAGGCTGGCCTCGAACTCACAGAGATCTGCCTGTCTCTGCCTCCCGAGTGCCACCAATGACCAGCCAGGGTCCAATCTTGAACCAGGGTCTTCCACAGGTTGTTAGTGTTCTGGCACTGGGCTGTAGCCCTAGCTCAAGGACTTTGTGTTAACTGAAATTCAAGTGAAGTGGTATGGTTGACTTTGTGTGTGAGGAACATGTATTTCAGGACAAGAATGGCTTACAAATATTTGCCCTTATCACAGCGAGGTTTTTAAGCTCATTCCTCGGTCAGCAGAACAGCTAAAAAGTTCCTTGTTCTTTTTAGTGACACTGGGTCTTACCCTTATGGAAATAAAAGAAACAGAAAGGAAGGGGGCACCCGGATTTGAACCAGGGACCTCTTGATCTGCAGTCAAATGCTCTACCCCTGAGCTATACCCCCTCACCTGGTCATAGTCCTCTTTCTTGTCCACTTATGGTGACTCACTATGAACCGGTTCCACCACACTAATGCCCTGGGGAGCTTTGTGTTCTCAAGCCTCCTTCTCTGTATACATCTGCTTGGCTTTTCTCTACCACCAAGAAATAGGATGGAAACATAAAAGAATGACAACTGATTGAAAGGAGATGGACATCATGAACAGAAAGTCCTGTGATTTGGGCTAATGAGCACCTGATATCCTCTTGCTCCCATTAGCCCTCTAATGAATTATGTGAAGGAAGAAGATGGATGATATCAGGTTTGCTTTGTTTTGTTTTGATTTTTTAGGACTAAGAATTGAACTTAACCCAGGTGGTGGTGGCGCACTCCTTTAGTCCCAGCACTTGGGAGGCAGAGGCAGACAGATCTCTGTGAGCTCAAGACTAGCCTGGTCTACAAGAGCTAGTTCCAGAACAGGCTCCAAAAACACAGAGAAAACCTGTCTCAAAAATAAAAAAAAAAAATGAACTTAAGGCCTCAAACATGCTAACTAAACACTCTACAATCTTAGCATCTAGCTATATTTCAGTCTCTGGACTTTACTTTTTTTTTTTTTCTTTAGCCAAAGTCTCTCTATGTAGCCAATTTAGCCTTGAACCTGCATCCTTCTGCCTCAGCCTCTCAGCTAACTGGGATTAGAGACCAAACTCTCAGGCCCATTTAAAATGTCAGAATTTTGTTTTGTTTGGTTTTTTTGGGGGGTGTAAATAGTCAGGTAAATCATCTTATTATTTTTGAGACTTGATTCAGGATCTCTGTAGTCTTGGCTGGCTTGGAACCACTACGTAGCCCAGGCTGGCTTTGTACTTGTGGGGATCTTTCTATTTCTAGCTCCTAAGTACTAGGTTTACAAGTGTGTGTCTCCACACCCAACTAGGGTTCCACTGCCTATTCCTGCTGCATTTTTGCTTTTGCTTATTTAGGTTTGTTTTTTGTCTCCTTTAAATTACATTTTAATTGTTTGAGCATATGTATGCATATGGGCATAAACATGCCACAGAGCGCATGTGGCAGCCAGAGGACAATTTGTGGCATTCTTTTTACCTTGTGGGTGCTGGGAATCTAACTCAGGTTGTCATACATAGCTGCTTCCCTGTTGTTGATGAAAACAGTGGCCAGCTTCTGACCTATGAGTCTACTAGTACCTGGAGAAATGTTTTGATGGTATTTCCATGCACTAGACCATGGGTTTAACCCCTGGCCCTGCCAAGGGAGGACGGACTAATATGGCCCCTTCTCACCACCCCAGCCTAGAAGGAAACAGATGCTTCCTTAATCTTCTTCCCTCCAAAGATGAAGCTGAGTGTATAGAAACCAACTTGTTCCCTCCTCCCACCCCAGAGAAGAAAAGAACACACCGGGAGACACAAATGCAACTTTTAAAAATATAGAATAGTATTGACAGGTCATCTAAACATCTGTCTTAGAGATTCAAGTCAAGGCCTGTGAAGTAGTGTCTTCAGAAAATGGGGAATGGGGTGACTTCCCCGAACACTGATGTGCGCTGTCGGAGGGCTGGAGTGTTCCGGCGGTAGCCAAATCGACCGTTTAAGCCCACATTTATCGTCTTCAGATTGGCATTGTAGTGGTCATGTCCACTCACCTGCTGGATGGAATGCCCTTGGGAAAGAGGAGAGTTGACTGAGCCTGCAAACAGTATCCTCTCCTCCACTTAAACCCAATGAGTCACTGCATCCCCACACTCACAGCTGGATGCTTGCTGCTCAGAGCCCCTTGAAAGAAACCTACAACAATGAGGTCCTGGAGACAGAGGTGTCCTAAAAGTCAAACCCTGTCCCAAGTGACTTTGCAAGAGGGCTGTGATTGGTAAGTGCTGTGCCTGCACTTGGCTCCCAGGAGATTTCCTTTTCCAGTGGTTTCAAAACTGAGTATGCTCATGCTTGGGGAGCCAGTGTCTGAGGGAGGGGCACACCACACACACACACACACACACACACACACACACACACACACACACCAGGCTTTAGAGAAGATGGAGGGGAAACTGGCTGCAACTCCATCTCAGCCCTTCCTAGCAAATGTGTTTGAAATCATGCATGGCGTATGAATTGTACCATGGGATAAAATGAGGCTGAGGGAAACCTGGAATGTAGTAGATGTTCAAGAAATGAATGTTAGGTGCCCCAAACACTATTTGCTCATCTATGGAGAGAAAACCCAGGAAGATACAGTCCTTGACCCTCTCTTTTCCCCCAGCCTCTCTGTAGCCCTGCCTCTGTAAGCCCTAGGGTGCACAGGTTTTCCATGGTGGGATCATACGAGGATGGACAGTGGGAAGGCACTTGCCTGCCCCTGCCCAGTTTCTCCTGTTCAGATATCTCTGTCCTTGACCAAAAATGTGGAAATAATCCACTATCCAGCCATCCCTTCCTGTACCGCCATGATCCTGAAAATGAAGAAGAGAAGACCGTGGGTTGGGATGCCTCAGAGTGAGGTGTAAACTTCCTGGGGCTAAGGGGAAGAAGGAACTTGGGGGCAGATTAAATACACTAATGATCTGGAGTGTGGCCATCAGGCAAGGGCTCTGTTGCTAGACAGTGTGGATGTCACTTCAGCCCTGCCACTAGCAAGCTATGTGATCATGGGCCAATCACAGTTTCTCTGACCTCAGTTTTGTTTTGTTTTTTTTTTGTTTTGTTTTTTTGTTTTGTTTTGTTTTTGTTTTGTTTTTTTTTTCCATTAGTAACCAGCTGGAAAGCTGCCATGAGATTTTCCTGACTTAGTTTAGATAAAAGGCCTGTCATAGTAAAAACTAAATACACATATTTTGTTACTGTTTTGTTACACGTTGTTGGTTCTTTTTCTCAAGATAAAGGGCTCACATAGCTCAGAGGAAGTCTTAAACCTGTTTAGGTGAAGATGACCTCGACCTCTTAGCCTAATCCTAACATCTCCCAAGTACATTCATTACCTCTTCCAGCTCAGAGATCTTGTTTTTCGCTTTTTCTTGAGACAGGGTTTCTCTGTGTAGCTTTGGAACCTGTCCTGGAACTGACTCTGTAGGCCAGGCTGGCCTCAAACTCAGAGAGATCTGCCTGCCTCTGCCCCTCCAGTGCTGAGATTAAAGATGTGCGACACCACCACCACCTGACTTTCTCACATCTTTATTAAAATAAAAATACCCAGCACAGATGTAATTTTGATGATTAACAGCAACAAAACAAAAATAGAGCTGGGCATGCAGTAACTTGGTAGTTCCATTGAGTTTGAAGCTTGGCTACATAGTGAGTTCCAGGCCAGCCTGGGCTATTAAGTAGGAGACCATCTTAAGAAAGAGATGGCTCAGTGGTTAAGAGCACTGATTGTTCTCCCAGATGGAACTGGGTTCAATTCCCAGCTTAGAAATGTAATTCTAATTCCAGAGGATCTGATATCCCCCCCCCATGCACATAAAAAAAAATAAAGGCTAAATTATTTAAAACAAACAAAAAACAGAATACTTTAAAATTAAACAAAAACATCGAGTGTGGCACATGCTTATACCCTGACACTTAGAAGCTGTAGAATTAGAGACCAGTCTGAATTACATGAAACTCTGCCTCCCTTAAGAAAGGAGGGGGGAGTTGGAGGCAGAACTGGAGAGATGACTCAATGGTTGATTAAGAGCACTAGAAGCTCCTCTAGAAGACCCAGGTCAATTCCCAGCACCTACATGAAGGCTCACAACTGTCTGACACTTTCTTCTTTTCTCTAAGGGCATCAGGTACACAAAGCTCTCTCTCTCTCTCTCTCTCTCTCTCTCTCTCTCTCTCTCTCTGTGTGTGTGTGTGTGTGTGTTTGAAGTTGAGCCTGGCTCAACCTTTAATCCCAGCACTCGGGAGGCCTGATCTACAAAGTGAGTTCCAGGGCTGTTACACAGAGAAACCCTGTCTGAAAACACACACACACACACACACAAAACAACAACAACAAAAAAGAAGCTGAACATAGTATCATGAGTTCCAAGCTAGCCTACATAGCCAGTTTCAGGACAGCCAGGGTCACATAGCAGACAGAGAAACCCTATCTTAAAAACACAAAATTAATAAAATTCAAATCGGGTGATATGGGCTTGTAGTCACTCAGGAAACAGAGAAAAAAGGATTTCAAGTTGGAGATCAGTCTGGGCTACATAGCCAGACTGTGGCTCCAAAACAAAGAACAAAAAAATAAAAATACTGACATTCTTAAACATACACACCTCTGGCTCCTGTTATAAAAGTGACAAGGAGACAGATTGTGTGCCTTTCCACTGGCACTGTACACATATGGTCACACACAAGGCTAAGGACCACAAGAAAAAGCTCCAAGTTCTGTTCCTAGTGCAACCTGGTATGTCCTTTTTGCCTTCACACCACTGAGATAAACACAAATACTGAAGGCAAAAGTGTGACAGATGGCAGTCCCTGTCATTAGTTCTATTTTGTATGGGGTAGTGAATGGGATGCATTCAACCAGCACCTCATACATGTGAGGCAAGTATTGAACCCCTAAACTACAGCCTCAGCCCCACTCCCAGTTACTGGAAGATCACTTGTGAACACTGGAAGACATGGGACTACATAAACAAAAACAGAGAAAGAAAATTAAGCGTTGGGAGAAAATGTAACTGTCAGTCTACAGCCTAAGGATCTACAATCCTGGCAAGTAATAGCTGGGGAGGAATGTCTGCAGAAGTGGGGCTCCCTTCCCTCGGGCTCACCAGACAGCTTTAACCCTGCAACTGTGATAGCATAGGACCATCCCCTTTGATTCACAGAGCTCTCTGGCAGTTCCATCAGGTTTTGAGGACTTGCTGTGAGGTCACTCGCAAGCGCCCCCTGTAACGTCACAAAACGTTTGTCGGGAGGGGCAGGCTTAGCGCCCTAGTCTCCCTCTTGCACAAACAAGATATGTGACTGCAGGTCACAGACCGGAGCTCTGGGTGGACGGGACCTGGTGAGCTCAGCACCGCCACTCCTCAGTCACAGCACGCTTCTACTTCCTAATTTACCAACACAGACACAGGGTGCTGGCCACAAGGTGCCCAGCACACTGCAGGGAAAAGCCCAGAATTAGGGAGGGGTAAAACCTCGAAGTCCCAGGTCACCAAGATCAAACCCCAAATCCTAGCTGCCAGAAGCTTCGGGGTCCTCCTGGATACTCACAAACCCACCTGATCAGTTTTCCGCAAAATGGGCGGAACCACGCGGCTCTGGAAGTACCTATGAGTGTGGTAGTCCTGTTGTGGGTTGTAAGGCGGAATCGCGGACCACAGCTTGGGCCTCGAGAGGCTGTAGGCCCGGGCCATTGTGCTCACAGCCACCCCATCCAAAACAAATCCCTTTTCGAGTCGCAGAGGACACTCATAAAACTGAGACATCCCAACCATGTCTTCTGATGCCTTCTGGCGAAGCGAGTACTAGATGGAGACTTCACTGAGTATTGTTACGTATATCAAGGACTGCCCTGAGACATAAACCCTATTGTTCTACATTTCAAGTTCCCCACCACGCCCATCTTATGTGGTGCTGGGATTTAACCCTAGGCTTCCTGCACATATACTAGACAAGCACTGTTATCAAACTGTACTACATACCCAGTCCTCTGCGCTCACACTTTACATGTTTTTAACATTTCATATGTATATGAGTGTAGGTCTGCCTGACCTAGTCTGCCTGACCTAGAGTTAAGAGTGGCAACTAACTGACCAGCCAATGGTGGCACACTAGGGAGGCAGATTCAGAGGCAGGCACTGTGAGTTCGAGGCCAGCCTGGTCTACAGAACATTTCAGGACAGCCACAACTACACACAAGCCTTGTCTTAGACAAACTTAGTTCTCCTGCAAAGCAGCGCGGCTTTAACATCTCCAGCCACTGCTTCCACACTTTACTAGATTCAATTTCTTGGCATAGTTCCCCTGAAAAGCTGGCATAGAGATTTGACCATCATTTAGAGCATCTTAGAACCCTCACCTTCCATATTAAGTAGCTAAGGGTTTAAAAGGATTACCATAAACCACAAGTGAGGGGGGTGAGGCTCACTTGTAATCCTAGTATTTGGAAGGTGTTCAAGGCCAACCTCAGCTACAGATTTAGGTCAGCCTGGGCTACTTCAGAAAATCCCTTCCTTTTTCCCCAGTTCACCTAGTTGTAGAGCTAAGAACCAGAATTCACATCCCACATTTTTTGTTTGCTTTTCTTCTCTGGGTAGCTTTGGAGCCTATCCTGGCACTGGCTCTGTAGACCAGGCTGGCCTTGAACTCAGAGACCCTCCAGCTTCTGCCTCCTGATTAATGAGACTAAAAGCATGAGCCACCAACACCTGGCTACCTTTGTTTCTAGATAGCTCCCTAAGCACTGGGATTACACACATGTACCTAACCTGGAACCAGACTAAACTGACATGATGTCTTCCTATAAGTTTCTCAGTTGTTACCTTTTTTATCTTTTCCTTTTTTTTTTTTTTTTTTTTTGGTTTCTGAAAACAGGATTTCTCTGAGGCTTTGGAGCCTGTTCTGGAACTAGCTCTGTAGGCTGGGCTAGAATTCAGAGATCCAGCTGCCTCTGCCTCCCAAGTGCTGGGACTAAAGGTGTGCACCACCAGCACCTGGCTTTGGTTTGCTTTTTCAAGACAGGGTTTCTCTGTGTAATTTTGTAGACCAGGCTGGCTTCTGAGATCTGCCTTTGCTTCTGGACCGCTGGGATTAAAGATGTCACCACTATAGGGAGGCTTTTTAATTTTGAAATAATTAGACTTTATTTTCATTGTTATAGTCTCAGATCCCCTGGAACTGTAGTTACCATGGAGCTGCCATGTGTGCTAGGAATTGGACCTGGGTCCTCTGGAAGAGCACTTGGTGCTGTAACTGCTGAGCCATTTCTCCAGCCCTGAACATGACTTCTTCACTGGGCATATTAGGACAGTAAAGTTGTTTATACTACAGGTGACTTACATTTACCCACCCACCCTAACACAAATGCCCTGTGCATCAAGACATCACCTCATTCAGGTACTTTAGCTGACCACTCCAACCTTGAATGGCAGACTCATTTGGGCTGAAACAGGCTGGAGTTGCTTAGGGATTGGGGTGGGAACTTTGGTCTCAGTCAGGGAAGCCCTCTACTATGGGACATTTCCAGCCCTTTCACTTTGTTAATTTGCCCAGGATGATCTCAAACATACACTTTTGCCTCTTCCAGATTACAGGTACAAAACATAGCTGAGGACTTATTCCTGTTCATTGTAGCAAAATAAACATGAAAAGTTTATTTGCCAGGTGTGTCCTATAATCTCAGCGCCAGTGAGGTAGCAGAGTTGGACAGCTCAGCATTTAAGATTACTTGCTCTTCAGAAGACCTGGCTTCAATTCCCACACTGTAACTTACAGTTCTAGAGGATCTGACCACCTTCAGGATTTAAGGCAAGAAGATTCTAATGACACACCTCAGAAAAATTAAGGTTGGGCATGGTATTTAATCCCAGGAAAAGCAGATTGGCAAGACTTTGCTTCAAATTAATACTTTGAAAAGCCTTGAACTTTTCTCAGCACTCACATTGCACATCCCGTAGGATGTTAGTGTGAGAGCACCTATGTACTATCACTTTCACCCGGTATTTCAAAGGCTGCTCATTGAAGTCCACCTACACAGGATCATTTGTTATTAGGCAGAAGGCACAACTCAATTTATTCTACATGTACAAGTGTTCCTCTTTGCATGTTTTATCCATACACCAAGAGTGTGACTGCTGCCAGAAGACACCTGAATGGGGGTAATGTTTATTCCTCCTAACTGGAGTTACAGTAAACTTGTAGGTGCTGAGACTTGAACCTGTGTCCTCTGGAAGAACAACCCGTGGACATCTCCCACCCCTAAAGATAATCCTTACTGAACCTGGAAAGTAAAGTTTTACAAGGTCACAAAGTTGACATTTAGCAGTTTCCTTTTACAAAGCTGATATTGGTAAAGGTGTGTCATAAAAACAAGCTCTTGGAGCAAAAACTTTTTTAATGAATATATTTTACAAATATGCTGGAGAATCATGCAATGCTGCCTGCATTGGATGCAATCCTGGGCCACAAGTCTGCACATTCCTTTGCAACTGGACCTGTGATAGCAGAACCTGCACAGAAAAGACAGACAGGTTAGAGAGAAGGCTCCTTGTCCATGCTCCTACAGAGCCTTAGTTACCCAGCCAGAGACATACAAGATGGTTGGAACTTACTCTTACCTTTCATTTCGCCTTTATTGTTTACTATGACCCCTGCATTGTCTTCAAAATAAAGAAACACCCCATCTTTTCTTCGATACGACTTTCGTTGACGAATTACCACTGCTGGATGGACTAAGGAGGAAGAACAGGGCAGCAGTTACTACCTAAAGAAGCCCCAGCACCAGTGTAAAAAAACAAAAAACAAAACAGAAACAGGCAGCTATCCTTCTCCACAGAGGGATGTATCACTCAGCAGTAGGTTCCATCACCTATCGACAAAGAATCAATACAATCACCACCCCTAAATAGCCATCACCTTTGTGCAGAAGCCAAGTAATTCCAAAATATAAACTTAAGTACTGTTTGCTACACCTTTCCCTCTTATCTAGCAAGTTAGAACCACGGGCGGGTCCAGAAGTCATAGCTCAGTTGATGCCCAGTTGATTTGCTGGGCATCAAGGGCGATGTAATAGCATGTGTACTCTAACAGTACACCATACCAACAGATGTGTTGGGGGGTATATGCCTATAACTTAGCACTCCACGAATGAGGCCTTCACAATAGCCTGCTGAGAGCTTGTCCTATAAAGTACACATTTTGACCTACAACTATTAACTACATGCATAAAAACGTATTAAGAATCAGATTCTACATAGTACCCTGTTTACCAGGCAGCAAACCAAAGAGAAGCCATGACTAGTGTTTGTCTGACGTCTATTATCCCTGAACTTCCCAATTAATGCCCAGTATCTTGAGAGCACACACTGCTTTGAAATACTTTATTTTGGTTTTTCCAAGACAGGGTTTCTCTATGGTTTTGGAGCCTGTCCTGGGCCCTTGTAGACCAGGGTGGTCTCAAACTCACAAAGATCCACCTGCCTCTGCTCCCAAGTGCTGGAATTAAAGACTTTATGTTCTACTGGGGCAAGATTCCTCATCATCATACTATGATGGACAGAAATGACATGCCAGCCATTCTGTTATTTTACCACTGATGAGGTAGTTCCACTAAGTGTAAGCTTTGATTTTTGTCTAGGTTGTCCATTAACCACTCAGAGAAAAATGCCATTTTCATCTTAAAAAGTAGGCATTAAGGAGCTTTCCCAGTGTGTTTAATGGATTAAAACCCAGAACACAGCCCACAGAGCAGGTACTTTAGGAAACTGCACAACCACTTAAAATGTAGTCACCATGTGGTAATGTTCCATTAACACAGGGAAAATCAAGAATGGATCACTTTGGGTCCTTACTGAAGTCACACAGGATACAACAACAGGAACCAACACCATCTCTTCAAAGTCTAAATAAAAGTGGGGACAACCTCTCTTTCTGTGTAAGGGAATAGATTAATAAGGCTTTGCACACCAGGCCAAATGACCTAGTGTTTTGAGCTGTCCATGTAAGTCTTAAACTTAGACGCCTTTTGCCCTGCAGAACAGCTAGATTGAAATCTTCTGCCATCTAGTCTGGCTTCCACCTAAAGCTACCCAATTAAAACCAAGGACACTACAGGACTGAATTCCCAGAGATTCTGACTTCCTTTAAAACCAAAGATGGAGGTGGGGGGAAGAGAAGCAACCAATGTTGCCCGAGCCCCCAATTCTCATTAAAACTAAGGATGTCTCTCTCCACCAGTGGCAAAGACAACAGCACATCCAGCTGTTACCCTACCCACAAAGGGGCACTCACATGCTTTGCTCTTCTCTGACAGCTTCCTGAGCCACCAACAAGACCCTGAAGTGTTCTAAGAAGAGGACAAGCCTTTGCAGATACATCCCTGTCTAAAACTTAAGGAAGAGTCCTAAACACTAAGAGTATACTGGGTTTTGTGGAAACTGACAGCAAAGTGTTCGTGTAATACATAGCATCTCCACTCCACACTTGTACTATACCAAGGGACACTAGAACTTCCCTGGAGAAAAGAGCATGTTCCTTGGTGGCACATGCTATTAAACCCAGCACCTTGGAAACTGAGATGGGTGAACCTGAGTTGAAGGCCAGTCAGGTCTAGAGTGAAACTCTGCAGAGCTCTAAAGACAGACCACTTAAGGGAGAGGTTCTGAGGCTTGTTCTTTTAATCCATATACCTAAGGGGAACATGTTGGGGGTTGTTCTCCAGTACTCCTCTTTATTGCTATCACAAGAACATGCCTGTGGTGACAGAAGCCTT